GGGGGGGATGTGAAATAAAAAGTTGAAGGATTAAAAATCTTGCCTTAATTACACTACTTTTATTAATATGACATCCGTCAAAGTTAATTTTTTTGCTTCCAGACAGCTACAAGCACGCTGGCTTCAGTAGGATCACTTTCATGGCTACGAGCAAAACATCAGGCTTCTGATGAATAACCATTTTGTACAGAACATAAGAAACTGATCCAGAAACAAGCAAAACTTACCCAACAGCAGGATTCACAATTCTAATATAGTTATAGCATCTTCCAATGACAATACTTTCCAGGTTTTTTGTTGTACCTTCACCCTTCCATTTCTTTCCCTGCACTTCTGAGAAGCTGTTCATAAACAGAACAGAGACAACTACGAGAGACAAAAAAAGGCTCTTCATCGTGAATTCTTGACAACCCAAGTTCTTAAAAAAAAGGAAAAAAAAAAGAGAGTTAAATGATACAATTTAAATGGAAACCTGGAGGCTTAACGTTTAATATTTTCAATACTGGCTATAGCTCTGTACACAAACGAAGAAGTTAGACGGAAATCTGAACCTTACTGGGGACTGTAATCTGTTTCCTGGAACGATTGCAGCACAGGGATACATCACTTCCCCATGTCTAACCGTTCCCTACTTCGGAAAAACAGGACTTTTAAAGTCGTGATATTGCCACCTGGTGGTAACTGGGAAGAATTACAATATATTTCAGTAAGAGGGAGGGAAAAAACCCTTACCACTTCAGTATTTATGATGCCTTAGGTTCGCTTAATACTCATTGCTATGCTACACCTTCCTAAAACATCATAAGTGCTTGCAAGCAACATGTTTTAAAGCAGTTTCTTTTCGCTTTAAAAGGGCTATACTTTTTGCATGTATTTCTCTAATGGCTGAAAAAAATGCTGAAATACTCATCAGGAAAAAAAAAATTAAAATATGCCGGTAAAGCAATGATCGCATAAATACCCAAATTCTCAGGTGATCTTGTATCACACATGGGATAAAATTAGTCAGCTCTTTTTCCACCTCTTCCCGGGATACTGACAGCAACATTTTGGTGCGATGATATGTGTTTTAAAGTCTTCTTCATGAACAAAACCGCCTTGCAGGCAGAAATCAATCATAACGAGAACCAAAAGGATTAAGACATACTTGTGCACCGAAGAAATCTCTTCGACGTCTGTTTACTCTTATTCTCCTTACAGCTTCTTTTCCCTAAGTACTTTGTTAGATCATCAAATGGTATCAATTAATCTAATCTTCAGTGTAAACATTCTGTGGTGTACACTGCTGCAAATACAACCACACTACTTTTTTACCTTTTAAAAAAAAAAAAAAATTTTCAAGCTTCGAGTAATTTATCTATTGACTCACATTTCTGAGGAACATGCTGGTTCTTCTTCTATTAAAAAGTCTCCATGCCTCAGTGAATATATCCATCTTTTTTATTGATGTACTTTATATAGTGTCATGCTTACATTGATGCACTGGCGCTCAGCTGATGGATTTTGCTGAAGGCAAAATCTTGCTCATCATCAAGTAAACTGTTGATGATGAATTTCTCTTGTAAATGTGATGACAGAAAGATAACCAGTTGGTTTGTTACCTGCAGCAGAGTCTTCAGGAAAGCCAGATTTACCCAGAAACGGATGTGCAATGTTGTGCTTAATACGGTGGAGACACAGCAAATGCTGTACTTCAGTTACCTCTCTGAAACCTGGCCATGCTGATCGGGCACCAACATGTTAATCAAATGATTTCAAGTCACTGCTTTGGATTCAGGATTAGAGAGTCAATAATCCATGGAAGTCAATGATTTTTTTATTTATTATCAACTTTGCTGCAACCAAATTTTGCTTAGTAATTTCAGGACTAACAGAAACTAGAGTCATCACTGATGTGATCTTCTATACAGAACAGGGCAGAAATTGTCACCAATTTTTGCATCAAGACTCAAACTTATGCTTAAAATACACAGTATAAGTTAAAAAGACATAAAGATGGATACTGAGTCTAGGAATGGCTTTTCTCCAAGAACACGCCAGGTTAGGACTCATCAGCTTCAGGAAGATGTGGGTGCTGCTCAGTGGTGTTCTCCAAAAAAGAGACAACCCGTCACAACATCCCAGAGGGAATAGAAGTGAGTCCAAAAACTGCTGGGATCCCCATCTCATCCCCTATCGAGCTCGCTTTCCTCACTGGCTACTTCTAGAAATACAACATAGGGCCAGAAGGGCCTCTGATCTGGCTCAGCACAGCCATTTTTAATTTATGTTCTTAGTTTTTATTTAAATACTTCATGTGATGGCTAAACTAACACACCTCCAGGGAAATTCTTCCAATAGTTTGATAGCCTTAGCTCTGGCCTGAACTTGTCTACCTTTAGATTCCAGTCATTGGATCTCATGATGTCTTCTTCTGTTACAGTAATGAAGAATCTACCCTCAGAAATCTTCTCTCTGTGTAAATTCTTGTAGAACACGACCAAGTCTCCCTTTAAACTTGTCCATGGAAGATTCAATATTTTAATCCCACTATCAGGCACCGTCTCTTGTAGTATTGTACTTCACTGCCAGGAACTGGCTCTCCATCTTGCCTCCCAAGCTCTGGCAATTCATGCTGGATGCAGATCACTGCCCCTCGCTCTCTGCTGCTCTCTCCTAGAAGACGTCACAGCCCATGAAACAGTGAGCAAAATCAGCAGCATATCAGCTCTGGAGATACTCTAGTTCACAAACTGAATATTAACTCAAACGGCCACAAAATTAAGCTTATGTTTATATTCTGAAGCCCTGGAAGACGAGGAACAGACATGTTCTCTCATTATTTCTACCAGGTGGGAGTGGTAACTTCCAGCAGAAGGAAGATGTAACAGGTGGGAACATTAACCCTCTATTATTATTCTGGCATGAACTGCTGGCAGAATAACACCAATTCTGTACAACTTCATGCTTTAGGCCTGGAAATAGGACCTTGGAACTGCTCATATTAACAACCTCCTCTCTAAGTGTTGAAATAACGAACTTCACTAAACATTGTTTCTTGAGGGTTTGTCTCTTTGGTGCATAATTCTATGTAAAGCAGTAACCCAAGGTCTCGCCTGCTCCCTTGTTTGCTATGATACACTCTCTGTGCAAGAAATGCACAAGCTCAAAGCCAGAGCCGTGCTTACTAGCCAAGCAGTAAATACAACCATGTGCTGGCTGGCCAGCTGCATAACACCTGTGCTTTGCCTTCCTTTTCTTCTCTCATGTGTAACTGCTTTTTTTCCCCAAAGTTGTACGATGTTAACCTTCCAAGATTCGTACATACTTGCAAATATGATTAAGTAGGCCAGCATGTTCAAAAGTCCCTGGAGGTGGAAAGGATGAATGGAAAAGGAAACGCCCAAGACAGCAATTGCTTAAGCCTCATTTCCTTAGATAAAGAGATAAAAAGATTATTGTGCACAGCGTGATCTAGATAACCCTCATCACATGATTCCGCCTCCTCAGTTCAATATCTACTACTTTTACCAGCAATAATTTTGCATTTTATTGCCAAGCATTAGTACGTTGAGGAATACTGGACTAAAAATGTATGCGTGCCTTTGCTCGAAATATTTCAAGCTGTTCACAAGTAACTGCTCACATCTATAAACTAGCTACCTTTTGACCTATTTAGTATCTGCAACATAGATTTTGTACAGTAATAGTTTTCAGTCAGAAAGGTCTGCTGCATTTATTGTATGTTTGACAATGCATTTCTGGGACATTTACTACACGTTGCCATGCTGGTCGACAGTTTTACTACACATTGCCATGCTGACTGACAGTTACGCCTTTTGTCAAACTGAGGTGTAATCTCAGTTCTGCTGCATTCCTACTTTTTTTTGAAACGTTGCATGGGCAGAAGAGTATCAAAGGCAGGTGTTCCCGTTCCTTTTCTCTTGGATGTTACACAAATGGTGCGCTTAACTCCGCTTATTTAGCACAAATGCTGCAAAAAGGTGAGCGCAGAGAACCCGCTACGGCCCGGTTTGGGACACATCATAGGTCTTGCCTCATAAACACCCGTTCCTCTGCAGCACCCTCTTCATTCCTATGTCGTCATCTCCTCAGTATTTGGGCGAAGCGAGTTTTCTTTACTTCACGTAAACGCACGACGCAGTTTTTAATTCCTTCCGACTTAATTAAAGGCATAAAAACTGCTGTGCTCCCAGCGTGCCAGGCTACCCGGCGGGCCTGGAGACCCGCTACCACGGGACAGCGGCCGTGCCGCGGCAGCCCGCCGGTCTCAGGAGCCGCTCCCGCAGCTCTGGTCAGCCGAACCCCCGCCCG